CCTTGCTAGCATAGGCAGGATGGGAGTTGTAGTCAACAACATCTGGGGACCCACAGGTTGGAGAAAGGCTGCCTTAGAACATGGGTAGGCAAACTAAGGCCCAGGGGCCGGATCCGGCCCAATCGCCTTCTAAATCCGGCCTGCATACGATCCGGGAATCAGCGTGTTTTTACACGAGCAGAATATGTGCTTTTATTTAAAATGCACCTTTGGGTTATTTGTGGGGCCTGCCTGGTGTTTTTACATGAGCAGAATGTGTACTTTATTTAAAATGCATCTCTGCGTAATTTGTAAATGTAAAGTTAAAGGGACCCCTGACCATTAGGTCCAGTCGCGAACGACTCTGGGGTTGCGGCGCTCATTCGCTTGGCCGAGGGAGCCGGCATACAGCTTCCGGGTCATGTGGCCAGCAGGACTAAGCCGCTTCTGGAGAACCAGAGCAGCGCACGAAAACGCCATTTAGCTTCCCACCAGAGTGGTACCTATTTATCTACTTGCACTTTGAGGTGCTTTCGAACTGCTAGGCGGGCAGGAGCAGGGACCGAGCAACGGGAGCTCACCCCATTGCGGGGATTCGAACCACCGACCTTCTGATCGGCAAGCCCTAGGCTCTGTGGTTTATCCCACAGCTCCACCCGCGTCCCCTGAGTTATTTGTAGGACATAGGAATCCGTTCATCCCCCCCCCCCAAAAAAAATATATAGCCCGGCCACCCACAAGGTCTGAGGGACAGTGGACCAGCCCCCTGCTGAAAAAGTTTGCTGAACCCTGCCTTAGAAGATTGGAGAACTGGGCACAGGCTAACAAAATGAATTTCAGTAGGGACAAATGTCAGGTTCTGCACTTAGGCAGGAAGAACCAGATGCACAAATATAGGATGGGGGACCCCTGGCTTACTAATAGCACATGTAAAAAGGACCTATGGGTCTTGGCAGACCACAAGCTGAACATGAGTCAACAGGGTGATGCAGCAAGGGGGAAAGCTAATGTTATTCTAGGCTACATCAACAAAAGTCTAGTGTCCAGATCAGGCATAGGCAAACTCAGGACTACAACTCCCATCATCCCTGACCACTGGTCCTGTTAGGGATGCTGTTTTGGGACTACAACTCCCATCACCCCTGACCACTAGTCCTGTTAGGGATGCTGTTTTGGGACTACAAGTCCCATCATCCCTGACCACTGATCCTGTTAGCTAGGGATGATGGGAGTTGTAGTCCCAAAACATCTGGAAGGCCGACTTTGCCTGGTCCAGATCAAGGGAAATAATAGTACTGCTCTGTTCTGCCTTGGTCAGGAGTCCTGCATCCAATTCTGGGCTCCACAATTTAAGAAGGATGTTGACAAGCTGGAAGGTTTGCAGAGGAGGGCAACCAAGATGACCAAGGGTCTGGAAACCAAGCCTGATGAGGAACGGTTGAAGGAGTTGACTATGTTTAGCCTGGAACAGAAGAGACTGAGAGGAGATAGGATGGTCGTATTCGGATATCGTCATCTCGTTACCTTGTGCTTCAGCCTTGCTGTCATCTCCTCAGAGCTCTGCAGTTGCTCTGCCAGCTGCTGGCATCTCTCCGCTGGCGTCAGCTGCTCCATCAGGGCGCGGTTCCGTTCCTCGGCCTCTGCCACAGCCTGGAGGCTACGGGGGGAGTCCACCTCCACCGTCTTGGTGATATACTGCAGCGGGAGGGGGGGAGCTAGTCAGGGTCTGTGATGAGATAAGACCCTTTCCTCTGCAAGGAGGGGGAACGTGGACAACAGACAGGCAAAACGCAGGTAACTGGGGGTTGTCAATGTTCATCGCTATTCCAGGGACAGACTTTTGCCTCCTGAGCGAGGACGAAAATGGGCACCTCCTCCTAAATATTTCTTATTTTCACAATAATTCATTTCAGTGCAGCTGCTTTTTAGGGATCCTCTCGGTAGGTTCCCATGTAAATATAGGTTTTATTATTATCTTTTTTTAAAATTTACCTATATGGTTTTTCAAATTACAGTTTTACAATCACATATCCAACGTACAACGTAAAGACAAGATTCCCCAGAATCTCCTCGACTTCCATCCTCCCCTTTTGTGGGGCCTATTGGTAAACATTTCCTCCTGCACCTTTTATGACAATCCAAATCTTTTACATCTCCATTATATCTAAATTCCACCATTAAACTGCAAGTGTTATTTGAAACCTACTAAGGATCTTAACTGTTTACAATTTTTGAATCTTCTGGTCATCTTTGCAATTTCAACAAAAAGGTTTTATTATCATCTGTGCTTTTCTTCTAGAGAAAAAGGCGTTGGTACCATGTACCCCTGAACACCCCCAGAAAAAAAACACATGATTGTGGGATGTGAAACACAAGAGCAGTCAAGTACAACATTCCTAGAGTGAACATGTCTACACATGGGGAGGAATGTTTGTTCATCCGGCAGGTAAACTTCCTGTTTCCTTCTGGGCTGGGACAGACTTCCTCTTAATGTGGCTAGAGGTGGGCGTGGCCTCACCTGTGCAGGTAACAACAAAAGCACAGGGCAGGGGCAGACATCTCTCTCTCTTTGACTACATGCATCAAAGAAGCACATCTGCTTAGCCAAAGATGCTTCCAGCCAAGAAAGGACAAAGGGGACTACCTCCTTATGAGATAGTTTCCAGGTATATGTTCCTTTTTGAAGCCAAGTCTGCCTTCTGGGATCCAATTGTGAACAGAATGTGAGTGAGTAATATCTTTTTATACTTTTATAGAAGACTGTGTCGTGTCTTATCTTTTATGAGGGAATAAGGGGGAAATACCAGAACAGTTATTATAGGGGCTGTGAGTTTAAAAAGGGGAATGTTACTCTGCTAAATTGTGAACTTAATAATAATAATAATAATAATAATAATAATAATAATAATAATTTATTTATACCCCGCCCATCTGGCTGAGTTTTCACAGCCACTCTGGGCAGCTTCCAATCGAGTGTTAAAAACACAAGTTGGAAAGGCTATTATCAAACATTGTATCCTCTCCTGCATCCCTGAACATTCCCACAATGGTGCCCGCCTGACCCGGCACTTTGTGCGTGGCAACGGCCCACACAGCCCTAAATCCGGCGCTGCCTGTTCTATCCTTTGTCCTCCTCCTCTCTTCCCCTCTCTGCCACTTCTCCTTCCTTCCTTCTCCCAGGAAAGTGTCCTCTCAACAGGCCAAGTAGAGCAGAGACTTGGCCTCTCTCCTGGAGAAGAAGGGGGTCTCTTTCAGAAGCCCTGGGAGTGGCGCCTGCGGCTGGAGGATGGATGGCGGCTAACAGATTGAGGCTGAATCCTGACAAGACAGAAGTACTGTTTTTGGGGGGACAGGAGATGGGCAGGTGTGGACTCCCTGGTCCTGAACGGGGCAACTGTGCCCCTGAAGAACCAGGTGCGCAGCCTGGGAGTCATTCTGTGTCCAGGGCAGTTGTCCACCAGCTCCATCTGGTACACAGGATGAGACCCTCCCTGCCTGCGGACTGTCTTGCCAGAGTGGTGCATGCTCTGGTTATCTCCTGCTTGGACTACTGCCATGCGCTCTACGTGGGGCTACCTTTGAAGGTGACCCGGAAACTACAAGAAGAAGAAGAAGAAGAGTTTGGATTTGATATCCCGCCTTTCACTCCCCTTCAGGAGTCTCAAAGCGGCTAACATTCTCCTTTCCCTTCTTCCCCCACAATAAACACTCTGTGAGGTGAGTGGGGCTGAGAGACTTCAAAGAAGTGTGACTGGCCCAAGGTCACCCAGCAGCTGCATGTGGAGGAGCGGAGACGCAAACCCGGTTCCCCAGATTACGAGACTACCGCTCTTAACCACTACACCGCACTGGCTCAACTAATCCAGAGTGCGGCAGCTAGACTACCGGTCTTGAAAGACCTACACTGGCTCCCTGTATGTTTCTGAGCACAATTCAAAGTGTTGGTGCTGACCTTGAAAGCCCTAAACGGCCTCGGTCCAGTATACCTGAAGGAGCGTCTCCACCCCCATTGTTCTGCCCGGACACTGAGGTCCAGCTCCGAGGGCCTTCTGGCAGTTCCCTCCCTGCGAGAAGCCAAGTTACAGGGAACCAGGCAGAGGGCCTTCTCAGTGGTGGCGCCCTCCCCGTGAAACGCCCTCCCACCAGATATCAAAGAGAAGAACAACTACCAGACTTTTAGAAGACATCTGAAGGCAGCCCTGTTCAGGGAAGCTTTTAGTGTTTAACAGACCACTGTATTTTAATACTTTGTTGGAAGCCGCCCAGCGTGGCTGGGGAAACCCAGCCAGATGGGCGGAGTATAAATAAATTATTAATATTATTATCATTACTCTAGCAGCCGGAAAGGGGTCCTTGAGAGGTGGGGCGGCACTCACCTGCACTTCAGGGGGGCGGCTCTTCTGCGCCTCCAGGGAGAGCTGGAGCCCTCGCAGGCGTTCGTCCAGGTGGCGCACCTCCTCCTCCTTGCGCCACTGCAGCCGGTCCATCTGCACCTCCAGGGACATCAGCTCTTCCACCTTCCGCTGCAAGGTGGCCTCCAGCTGCTGCACTTTGGTGCGGAGGTCCTCGTTCTCCTGGGAAGAGAAGTGTGGGAATGTTCAGGGAGGCAGGAGAGGATATATTGTCTATTAACATCCTTCCTAACTTGCAGTTCACACGACAGAAGGAAGATGGAGAAGAAGAGGAGAGAGAGAGAGATGGCTGTGTGCCTTGTGCTTTTGTTTTCCTTGTTTTCCTAGAGTGGACATGCAGGGGGATGTTTGGACCAGCCAGTCAACAACTTCTCCTGGGCTGGGACATGCTTCCTCTTGTATATGACTAGAGGTGGGCATGACCTTACCTGTCCAGGTAACAAAAGTACAAGGCACGCAGCCATATCTCTCTCTTTTTGAATTCCTCTCATCATTGAGCAGCTTTTTAGCTAGAGATGCCCTGTTGGCTTTCAGCCAACAGAGGACAAAGAGACTATCTCCATATAGGATAGACTCACATGTATATATCTGTAACTAAGTCTGCCTTCAGGGATCCATCTGTGAACTGATGATGATGTGAGTAAACTACTTCTATATATCTTAAATAAGATTGTGGCGTGTTTATTCTTTTAAGAGGGAAATAAGGGATCTTACCAGGAATCTATATTGAAAAGCTTAAACAAGCCTGCAACCAGCTACCTGCTCTGTGTTTAAATAATAATAATAATAATAATAATAAATTTTATTTATACCCCGCTCTCCCCAACAAAGACCGGGCTCAGGGCGGCTAACACCCGATATAAAACAATTGATTGAAATACAACTTAAAAACAAGATTAAAATACAACATTAAAAAGCAGCCTCCTTTCAGTAGAAACTCAAATCCAAAACTTTTGGGGGGAGGAAAACGTCAAAACTCTGCTAAGTTATAGAACTTTCTAGCGCAAGTTAGGAAGGATATTAATAAACAATATATCCTGCCTCCCTCAACAGTCCCAATAAATTCAGGTCTGGAAAGGACAAAATAGGAGAGCCCCCTTGGTGCAGTGGTTAGAGCATTGGACTAGGACCAGGGAGACCCAGGTTCGAATCCTGGGTGACCTTGGGGGCATTCGCTGCCTCTAGTGTTGCCCTATTTCAAAAAGTAAAAAACCAGGACACCCTGAAAATTGTTGCACTTTTTTTTTTTTTAGGAAGACCCTCGGAGGGTTATTTTGGGAATTAAACGAGGAGGTGGGGAGAAAAGGGGGTCTCTCACCTTCACCAGCTGTGCAGGGGGCTGCGCGGAGACAGTGGCCAGCTGCTGCAGGAGCCCCTGGGTGATATTCAGGCTCTGCTTCAGCCCCTCGTTCTCCACCGTCAGGTTGTGGATCCGCTTCTCCGAGTCGGTCACTCCCTGGGGGGGTGGGAGACCCAAAAAAATTGAGGGTTTCCTTTACAAAGGGCTCCCCACCACCACCAGCACCACCTCTATAATTCCAGAATTATAGAACTGGAAGGGATCTCCAAGGGCATTTAGTCCAACCCCCTGCAATGCCGCAATCCATAGCTGTCAACATTTCCCTTTTCTAGTGAGGAGTCCTATTCGGAACAAGGGAATTTCCCTTAAAAAAAGGAAAAGGTTGACCACTATGCCGGAATCACAACAAGGGTGTGGGATGTGAAACACAAGAGCAGTCAAGGACAACATTCCTAGAGTGAACATGTTTACACATGGGGAGGAATGTTTGTCCAGCCAGCAGGTCAACTTCCTGTTTCCTTGTGGGCTGGGACAGACTTCCTCTGCATGTGACTAGAGGTGGGCGTGGCCTCACCTGTGCAGGTAAGGACAAAAGCACAGGGCAGGGCAGCCATCTCTCTCTCTCTCTGACTACATTCGTCGAAGAAGCAACATCTGCTTAGCCAAAGGACAAAGGGACTGTCACCTTATGAGATAGTTTCCAGGTGTATGTTACTTTTCAAAGCTAAGTCTGCCTTCTGGGATCCAATTGTGAACAGAATGTGAGCGAGTACAGTGGTACCTCGGGTTAAGTACTTAATTTGTTCCGGAGGTCCATACTTAACCTGAAACTGTTCTTAACCTGAAGCACCACTTTAGCTAATGGGGCCTCCCGCCCCCACCGCGGCTCCAGAGCACAATTTTTGTTCTCATCCTGAAGCAAAGTTCTTAACCTAAAGCACTATTTCTGGGTTAGCAGAGTCTGTAACCTGAAATGTATGTAACCTGAAGCATATGTAACCCGAGGTACCACTGTAAACTCTTTTATACTTTTATAGAAGACTGGTCATGTCTTATCTTTTATGAAGGAATAAGGGGAAAATACCAGAACAGTTCGGGACGCAGGTAGCGCTGTGGGTTAAACCACAGAGCCTAAGACTCGCCGATCAGAAGGTTCAAATCCCCTCGACGGGGTGAGCTCCCGTTGCTCAGCCCCTGCTCCTGCCCACCTAGCAGTTCGAAAGCACGTCAAAGTGCAAGTAGATAAATAGGTATCGCTCCGGCGGGAAGGTCAACGGCGTTTCCGTGCGCTGCTCTGGTTCGCCAGAAGCAGCTTAGTCATGCTGGACACATGACCCGGAAGCTGTATGCCGGCACCCTCAGCCAATAAGGCAAGATGAGCGCCGCAACCCCAGAGTCAGTCACGACTGGACCTAATGGTCAGGGGTCCCTTTACCTTTACCTACCAGAACAGTTATTATAGAGGCTTTAGCAAGTCTGAGCAAACGTAACCGCTGTGAGTTTAAAAAGGGGGAATGTTACTCTGCTAAATTGTGAACTTGTTAACACAAGATGGAAAGGCTATAATCAAACCATATATCCTCTCCTGCATCCCTGAACATTCCCACAAAGCGGAATCCCTGGCAGAGGGCCATATCACCTCTGTTTCAAAACCTCCAGAGTCCTGCACCGTTCCCCACCCCCTGCTATGGGTGCTGCCCCAATACACAGGCTCAGTTCTCCCTGGTCCCGAGTGCGAGGGCCACAGGGGGAAGGGGCTCCAGCTCTCCTCACCGTGCCCATGCGAAGCCGTTCCAGCTCCTCCTCGCGCTCCTGGATCTGTTGCTTCAGCCCCTGGATCTGGTGAGGAAGGAACAAGAGGAAAGTCACCCTCCCTCTGCCCCACACTCCCTCGAACCCCACTCTTTGGGTAAAGGCAGGAAACAGACCTGCCTCATCTCGTCATGGTCTCCTTCGCACAGGATCATAGACTTGACATCTTTCCGCAGACAGAGCTGTTCCGCCTGGCCTTTGGTTTGGACTCGGTCTGACCCTTATGTTTCCCTCCCCTTATGATTTATAGGCTACTTTAAAATGAGGCTGTATTTAAATTGCATTTTAGCCTGTATTTTAAATTGGTTTTTTTTGGGGGGGGGCATTATGTTTTTACTGTGATTTTATTGGTGTTAGCCGCCCTGAGCCCGGCTCTGGCCGGGGAGGGCGGGGTATAAATAAAGTTTATTATTAAGAAAATTGTAAACATTTGAAAACGTTTGTAGGCTTGAATTGAAATGTTTTGTAATGTAAATATAAGGAACTGATTTACCGATAATAAGGTGAAATATTATAATTTGACAACGGGTAAGTGCTTATAGAAATGCGAAGAATATGGAAAGTTATGTGGAAGTCCGAAAGAGGGAGGGAAGGAGGTTGATGCTCTTACAGAGTAATATATTAAGTCATAGAATTATGTAACAAAATGTGGATATGATTTAAGTGGAAAACTCAATAAAAATTATTTATAAAATAAAATTAAATTTATTTATTTATTATTATTATTATTATTGAATCAGAGACTCGCAGGGTGGTAAGGGATCCCTAAAGGTCCTCTAGACTAACCCCCCTTGCAATTGCAGGAACTGCAATTCAAGAATCCCTGCCTCTCTGGGGTGCAACCAGATTGGACAGCTGAGCAAAAAGAAGGCAGAGTGCAGCCCTTGTGGCTAGTAGCCACCAACAGTAGTAGTAGTAATAATAATAAAATTTATTATTTATACTCCGCCCTTCCTAGTTCAGAAAACCGGGCTCAGGGCGGCTAACAAATTTAAAACACTTAAGTGATGCTACAGAAAACAGCATAAAATACGGTATAAAGAGTGAATAACAATAAAATCAAAAATCAATTAAGGGGGGAAATCCATCCAATAAACATTAGATGATCACCAGGGCTAGCTGGCTAAATTAGTCCTATTTGGGCCAGTGAAGAGACCAGGGGAGAATTTGCTGTGGGGTCTCCAGAGTGGGTGATCTTCATAAAAAGGGGAGGGGGAGGGAAGGAAGGGGAATAAAAGATCAAGCTAAGTTCAAATTGAAAGCCAGGCGGAATAGCTCTGTCTTACAGGCCCTGCGGAAGGAGGTTAAATCCTGCAGGGCCCTGGTCTCCTGGGACAGAGCATTCCACCAGGTCGGAGCCACCACTGAGAAGGCCCTGGGGGAGGATAGTCTGACTTCCTTAGGGCCCAGGACCTCTAAACTATGGTTATTCATGGACCTTAAGGTCCTCTGCAGGGCAGACCAGGAGAGGCCATCCCGTAAATACGAGGGCCCTAAGTAGTAGTACTAGTAGTAATAATAATTTTATTATTTATACCCCACCCACCTGGCTGGGTTTCCCCAGCCACTCCAATAGCCCTCTCCTCCTCCTCCTCCATGAATTCGTCCAATCCTCTTTTAAAGCCAGTTTGGTTGGTGGCCACCACTGACTCCAGTAGCAGGGAGTTCCGCCGTTTAACTACGTGCTGAGCAAAGCCCTTTCCGTATGGGCCCCATTTCACAGTGGCCTCGGCAGCTGGCTTGGCCAGCGTTCAGGGGCGATGGGAGCCGCTGGGCACAACGGCAAAGGGGAGGCAGCAAGACCCAGCCCCTGGCAACTACCCCCAACGCCTCCCCGGCCCTCCGCCTCACCTGGTGGTGGAAATTCCCAGCCAGCCGCTGCTTCTCTCTCTCCCGCACTTCCGCCTGCTGACGGAGGCCTGTCACCTCTTCTGACAGCCGGCTCCGCTCGCCCTGGAGGGTGTTGATAGACTCCACCAGCTGGTGAACCCCGGCCGAGGACACCGGGTAGAGCAGGCAGGCTGAAGGCAGCTTCATCCCTGAGACAGAGGAGGAGAAGGGATGGAGCCCCTGGAGATGCCGCCGCAATGAATCTTAGGACCCCCAAAGGTCATCCAGCCCAACCCGCGACAATGCAGAATCTCAACGGAAGATTCCAAGCCAAAGGCCAGGGGGTCCCTGCCAACTCTCAAGTTCTATGATTCTGACATCTGGCCTCCTTCCTCTGCTTCCATGCCAATAATAATAATAATAATAATAATAATTTATTATTTATACCCCACTCATCTGGCTGGGTTTCTCCAGCCACTCTGGGCGGCTTCCAACAAAACACTAAAATACAATAACCTATTAAGCATTAAAAGCTTCCCTAAAGAGGGCTGCCTTCAGATGTCTTCTAAAAGTTTAGTAGTTGTTGTTCTCTTTGACATCTAGTGGGAGTAGGTTCCACAGGGCGGGCGCCACGACCGAGAAGGCCCTCTGCCTGGTTCCCTGTAACTTGGCTTCTCTCAATGAGGGAACTGCCAGAAGGCCCTCAGAGCTGGACCTCAGCGTCCGGGCAGAACGATGGTCCTTCAGGTGTACTGGACCGAGGCCGTTTAGGGCTTTCAAGGTCAGCACCAACACTCTGAATTGTGCTCAGAAACGTACTGGGAGCCAATGTAGGTCTTTCAAGACTGATGTTATGTGGTCTCGGCAGCCGCTCCCAGTCACCAGTCTAGCTGCCGCATTCTGGATTAGTTGTAGTTTCCGGGTCACCTTCAAAGGTAGCCCCACGTAGAGTGTATTGCAGTAGTCCAAGCGAGAGATAACCAGAGCATGCACCACTCTGGCGAGACAGTCTGTGGGCAGGTAGGGTCTCATCCTGCGTACCAGATGGAGTTGGTAGACAGCTGCCCTGGACACAGAATTGACCTTCGCCTCCATGGACAGCTGTGAGTCCAAAATGACTCCCAGGCTGCACACCTGGTCCTTCAGGGGCACAGTTACCCCATTCAAGACCAGGGAATCCTCCACACCTGCCCGCCTCCTGTCCCCCCAAAACAGTACTTCTGTCTTGTCAGGATTCAACCTCAATCTGTTAGCCGCCATCCATCCTCCAACCGCCTCCAGACACTCACACAGGACCTTCACCACCTTCACTGGTTCTGATTTAAAAGAGAGGTAGAGCTGGGTATCATCCGCATACTGATGAACACCCAGCCCAAACCTCCTGATGATCTCTCCTAGCGGCTGCATGTAAATGTTGAAAAGCATGGGGAGAGGACAGAACCCTGAGGCACCCCACAGGTGAGAGCCCAGGGGTCTGAACACTCATCCCCCACCACCACGTTCTGGACACGGCCCAGGAGGAAGGAGCGGAACCACTGTATGACAGTGCCCCCAACTCCCAGCTAATAATTTATTATTTATTCCCCGCCCATCTGGCTGAGTTTCCCCAGCCACTCTGGGCGGCTTCCAATCGAGTGTTAAAAACAACACAGCATTAAATACTAAAAACTTCCCTAAACAGGTCACTACCCTCAAATTTCTAATTTTTTAAAATTCACAAGCTTTGCATAGATATATGACAAGGGCAACACCGAAATCACAGAAAAGGCAGGCGAGGTTTTAAAATGTAATTTCCATTAAGTGGCAATAGAAACAGGAATGACCCAACACACATTTGAATGTACTGGTAGTATTTAACAAAAAGTAGAATACCAGAGAAAGATGCAGGGCAAAGCTCTGAAAGCTTTTTTTAACACCAGTGGTATTTTAACATACACTGAAGTTTAGGAATGTAGGCTGCAGCCTCTATTTGTTGAATGGTCTCTTTAAATTTGAAGGTTCATTAATGGTTCCGCAAGATGCGTATTTCTTTAAAGGCCAGAGCAAATAACTTACAGCTGTGAAGCAGAACAGCAGGTGCTGTTAAGTTGTGGTAATTAAGTTGTTGGGTATAGTATATAAAGAACAGCAGCTAGCTCTCTCAGCTTCCTGGCGGATGGGTCACACTTATTGATATGATGTAATTTAGTGTAAAAGGACTTTTTGTTTTTGTTCTTAAAACCTAGCAAAAGTTATTTTGCGTTTCTTGAGTGTGTGGTCTCCCAAGCATGCCTTCTGCAGCGCAACTAATCTGCAAATAGCCAACAGTATTGAGATAAGAACAATCACAAAATTTGAATTGTGGAAGCCAGCCTCAGAGATTATTCCCCTGGAATGGGTGTCGGAGGCATTTATGGAGTCATTTGCTAATTAACAACACACGCCGGGCCCTAAAAATTGGATTGTTGAAATTGTATCAGTCTTTACTTCCTCATTTGTTGCTTTCCCTATAAATCGATACAAATTGGCAGGGGAGACCTAAAGCAGCCCTGACAGGTGGCCACACAACCTGTCAATTATGTTATTTAGTTTCCTGTCAATCATGTTGCTTACACACACACACACACACACACACACGAAATACAGAAGTACCTTAGATAAAAACTAGCAGAATATTGCAAAATATACAGGGGACAGAGAGGCAGATCAGTGGCCCGCCCCATCTCCATCAACATTTCTCTGATGAAGATGGGAAAAATCAGAAACCGAGATGGCTTCTGTAAATCTGGGATTGTCCCTGGAAAATAGGGGCACTTGGTGGGGAGGGTGTTTGTCACCCCAGTGAGGAACCTAGGGTGGATCTTCACGCAGGAAAACCCCCGCTATAAATAAGTCATAAATTAAATTGTTATAACAAAATAAAAAATCTCTATGCAAAATCACACACAGAAGTTTTTTGCTCTAGAGCGCCATCTGGTGTTGCATGCTTATAATGCATTTAAAACGCTGCTTTTTCGGCTAATGTGGCTGAGTCCCTACTGTGCATGGGGACGGCGCCTGGGCTCACCTTCATGCATCTTCTCCAGCAAGCCTTGCTGCTCAGAGATGACGCCTTCCAGGCTCTCGATGAGGCTCAGCTTGTCCTTCACCCGCTGGCGATAGGCCCTCCTCAGACCCCTCAGCTGCTTGCGGCGCCGACTCTCCTCCTTGCGCAGGCGGGAGCGGTACTCGCAGGCCTGCTCTTGCAGCTGCTGCATCTGCGCATAATGCTCCAGGAAGGAGAGGAGGTGGGAGATCACCGAGAGGAGAGGCGACTCAGGAGGCTGGTGGCAGACGGAGCAGGACCCGAGGAGGAGAGCAGGGCGGGAGACAAGAGAAAAGTCAGAAAAATAACAACATATTACAGAGAATCATATAACACTGGAGTGGAACCCAAATCTAGCAGGATCTGATTTCTTTCCGCAGGGCCTGTAAGACAGAGCTGTTCCGCCTGGCCTTTGGCATGGAATCAACTTGATCCCCTCCCCTTCTTTCCTTTTTCCTTTCTCCTTCTGTGATGGAACTCCTATTTGGGGACTTCCCTGGATTTTTCTGGCCCATGTAGGACCAGTCTGGATAGTTAGCCTTGGTGAAGACCTGATGTTCTCATCCCCAAAAAAGTTTTCGATTTGAGTTTCCATTGAAATGAGGCTGCATTTTAAGGTTTTAATCTTGTTTTTAAGTTGTATTTCAATCATTATTTTTTTATATCGGTTGTTAGCTGCCCTGAGCCTGGTCTTGGTTGGGGAGGGCGGGGTATAAATAAATTATTATTATTATTATTATTATTATTATTATTATTATTATTATTATTATCTCAACCCACTGCAATGCAAGAATCACGGCTAAAGAACCTTCAACACGTGGACAGCCAACCTTTGCTAAAAAAATTCCAGCGAAGGAGAGCACACCACCTTCAGAGGGAATCTGTCCTACTGACAAACAGCTGTTACCACCAGAAAGTTCTTCCTGATGTTTAGTCGGAATCTCCTTTCTTCTGACTTGAAGCTGTGGATTCGAGTCCTACCCTCCAGAGCAAGAGAAAACCAGCTTGCTCCATCTTCCATGGAACAGCCCTTCAGATATTTGAAGATGGCTATCCTATCCCCTCTTAGTCTCCTCTTTTCCTACACCCCAACTCATGGGTAGGCAAACTAAGGCCCGGGGGCTGGATCCGGCCCAATTGCCTTCTCAATCCGGCCCGCGGATGGTCCAGGAATCAACGTGTTTTTACATGAGTGGAATGTGTCCTTTTATTTAAAATGCATCTCTGGGTTATTTGTGGGGCCTGCCTGGTGTTTTTACATGAGTAGAATGTGTACCTTATTTAAAATTCATTTCTGGGTTATTGGTACAGGTAAAGGTAAAGGGACCCCAGACCATTAGGTCCAATCGTGACCGACTCTGGGGTTGCGGCGCTCATCTCTTTTTAAAAAATGCATCTCTGGGTTATTTGTGGGGCATAGGAATTCGTTCATTATTTCCCCCCCCCCCAAAATATAGTCCAGCCCCTCACAAGGTCTCAGGGACAGTGGACTGGCCTCCTGCTGAAAAAGTTTGCTGACCCCTGGTTAAAGCCATGGTTTTCCCAGTCGTGATGTATGGAAGTGAGAGCTGGACCATCAAGAAGGCTGATTGCCGAAGAATGGATGCTATTGAGTTATGGTGCTGGAGGAGACTCTTGAGAGTCCCATGGACTGCAAGAAGATCCAACGATCCATTCTGAAGGAAATCAGCCCTGAGTGCCCACTGGAAGGACAGATCCTGAAGCTGAGACTCCAATACTTTGGCCACTTCATGAGAAGAGAAGACTCCCTGGAAAAGACCCTGATGCTGGGAAAGATGGAGGGCACAAGGAGAAGGGGACGACAGAGGACGAATCAGTTCATTTCCCCCAAAAAATATAATCCGGCCCCCTACAAGGTCTGAGGGATAGTGGACCGGCCCCCTGCTGAAGAAGTTTACTGATCCCTGTCCTAGATCCTTTCCACATGTCCTGTTGGCAAACCAGGTGTTCCCCATCTTATATTTATCCATCCAATCATTCATTTTAACTCCACATTTAATTTAATGTTTTCCACAAGGCCACTTCCCCCCCTTCCAACACCGCAGAACAGAAGTGAAATGGATTTGGGGTGGGGGCACTCACCTTTCCACTGGCTGGGTCTTTTTCCCCAAGGAGGGTCTTCACGGCAGCCTCCGCCTTGAGGGACCGGAACTCAGTGAGTGGAGTCGGGGCGTCCCCCAAACCAAGGCCTTCCTCCTCTTCCTCCTCTTCCTCTGTATTGTTGCTTCTGTCGCTCTCCGAGCTGCCTGCCAAGAGAAGAGACCCCTGGCCAGGGAGAAAAAGCACCAACCGGCAGCATCCTCTCTGGGGGTTGACCCTCCCCATCAAAAAGCCTGTTTTGTTCCTGGGTGGGGAGAGACTGTGGGGAGTGGCTGTGTCCCAACCCAAGACCTGGGGACTGAGCCCAGCAGCACAGAGTCTCTCCCAAGATATTTGGACAGCCAAACATCTGAGCTGATTCCAGAATCGCTGCACACTGGACAGGGCAATTGCCCTATTTATGATGAGGATGACTCCATCCTTAAACTGTGGGGTGTGATCCATGAGAGGCAGTCAAGTACAACATTACTTGAAATGCTAGAGAAGACATGCAAGGGAATGTTTGGTCCAGCCAGTCGAAAGTTCCTGTTCCTCCTGGCTGGAGCATCCTTCCTTTTGCATGTGACTAGAGGTGGGCGTGGCCTTACCTGTCCAGGTAACAAAAGGGCGAGTCACACAGCACACCTCTCTCTTTTTCACTTCCTTCTTCGTTTGACCAGCTAGGACTGCTCTGCTAGCTCTCAGCTAGCAGAAGCACTGGGGTTATTCCCCCATATGGGGTAGATCCGCATGTACATATTTGTAACTAAGTCTGCCTTCAAGAATCCAGCTGTGAACTGATGTGAGTAAACTTCTTTTATTGACTTTGAATAAGATTGTGGCGTCTTTTTTCTTTTAAGAGGGATTCAAAGGGAATTGTATACAGTTTTACCTCGGGTTACAGCCGCTTCAAGTTGCGTTTTTTCGGGTTGCGGACTGCCGAAACCCAGAAGTACCGGAACGGGTTACTTCCAGATTTCGGCAGTCACGCACGCGCAGAAGCGCTAAATCGCGCTTTGCGCATGCGCAGAAATGCTGAATCGCAACCTGCGCATGCACAGACGCAGGTTGCGAACGCTGCGGGTTGCGAATGTGCATCCCGCACGGATCACGCTCGCAACCCGAGCGTCCACTGTAATAGCGAGAGGCTGACACAAGCCTGCAACCAGCTATCTGCTGTGTATGTAAAAAGGGGGATGTAACTTTGCTACATAAAGGAACTTGCTAGCGCAAGTTTGGAAGGATATTAATAAACAGTATATCCTCTCCTTCCACCCTGAATGTTCCCACATATACAAGGCCCCATTAGGGAGGACAGGAAGACTTTGGGACTAGCCAACCATTCTGGGCTACCCTAACTTCTGCTGCTGGAGTGGGGGGGGGGGCGGACAGGGAGGGGTCCGGGTGACTTACTGTCCAGTTCACTCAGCTCCTTCCAGGGGTCTTTGCTCAGGGCTTTCTTCGTCCTCCTTGATTGCTCCATGGAAAAAGCTTTGCAGTCCTTCATGGGGTGGAAGCAACAGGAGACAAAATGTAAGAACATCTTTAAAAATATATAGCAACAGGAAATGGAGAATGCTTAGGGAAGCTTTTAATGTTTGATGTATTACAGTATTTTAATATTTTTTTTGGAAGCAGCCCAGAGTGGCTGGGGAAGCCCAGCCAGATGGGTGGGACATAAATAATAAATTATTATTATTATTATTATTATTATTATTACTCCCAACCTTTTTTTGCCCATGCCCCAGCTAAGCATCTGTAAAATCCTGACCCCCCCCCGTGACATATAATTTGTATTATTCAAAAAGTGAACTCCTTTTTTATAATGTCTTTAATTGATTTTCAAAATATACGGTAATATACATCTTAAAACAGTACAAAGTCCAAATATCGAGATTACGCTGAATCTTCCTGACATCCCCTATCCCTTCCAGGGGCCCTTTTAATTCTATTTTCAACTACATATCAGTACTTCAAAAAGTGAGCTCCTATTCACATGGAGGAAACCTAAAAGGCCATTCACTGTTAACTCATACTCGAATTGCCCCGCTGTGGGGCGTGTGCCTCACACTGGGAACCACAGTCTTAGATGGAAAGGAAGAGCAAGGAATCTGTCATGCCTGGACTGAACACTGGGAAACATCAGCAGAGGGAGGAATAAATGGATATCTCTCTAGATTGATATTATGAAGAAGTCTTGTTGGCACACCTAATGGATGGATAGTTAGAAGTCACTTTTACTTATCCTTCTTTTGTGGGAATGTTCAGGGTAGCAGGAGAGGATATAGTGTTTATTAATATAAGGAGCGTCTCCACCTCCATCTGAGGTCCAGCACCGAGGGCCTTCTGGCGGTTCCCTCCCTGCGAGAAGCCAAGCTACAGGGAACCAGGCAGAGGGCCTTCTCGGTAGTGGCACCCGCCCTGTGGAACGCCCTCCCATCAGATGTCAAAGAGAACAACAACTACCAGACATTTAGAAGACATCTGAAGGCAGCCCTGTTTAGGGAAGCTTTTAATTATATCCTTCCTAACTTGTACTAGGGATGTGGGTGGCACTGTGGGTTAAACCACAGAGCCTAGGACTTGCCAATCAAAAGGTCAGCGGTTCGAATCCCCGTGATGGGGTGAGCTCCCGTTGCTCGGTCCCTGCTCCTGCCAACCTAGCAGTTCGAAAAGTGCACGTCAAAGTGCAAGTAGATAAATAGGTACCGTTCCGCTCCTATTAGGTCCAGTCATGACCGACTCTGGGGTTGCAGTGCTCATTTCACTTTATTGGCCGAGGGAGCCGGCGTACCGCTTCCAGGTCATGTGGCCAGCAGGACTAAGCCGCTTCTGGTGAACCAGAGCAGCGCATGGAAATGCTGTTTACCTTCCCGCAAGAGCAGTACCTATTTATCTACTTGCACTTGAGGTGCTAGGTGGGCAGGAGCAGGGACCGAGCAACGGGAGCTCACCCCGTCGCGGGGATTCGAACCGCCAACCTTCTGATCAGCAAGTCCTAGGCTCTGTGGTTTAACCCACAGCGCCACCCGTGCCCTGAAAGAACTTAACATGAAGCAAATGTAACATGAAGTATGACTGTACACAGTATCAATCCTGAAGGCAGGCTTAAAGATTTAAAGTTACAAATAGCAACATGTGGATTTACCCCATATGGGGGACAATACCTGTTCTGCTGTTGCCTGAAAGCCAACAGAGCAGTCCTAACTGGAAGCCGACAAAAGGAGAAAGAGGAAAAAGGGAGGGAGTGCAGTGTGACTTGTCCTTTTGTTACCTGGACAGGTAAGGCCACGCCCACCTCTGGTCACCTGCAAGAGGAAGGATGCTCCAGGCCAGGGTAACAGGAAGTTTCGACTAGCTGGACCAAACATCCCCTTGCATGTCCACTCTAGCAAAACAAGGAATGTAGTACTTGACTGCTACCTGTGGACCACATCCGACATCTTTCTACGTGGTTATTACTCTTATCTTTCTCTCAGTATTCTATTCTATTTTATCTTACTGTATGACCTAAGGTAAAGGTAAAGGTAAAGGGACCCCTGACCATTAGGTCCTGTGGTGACCGACTCTGGGGTTGCGGCGCTCATCTCGCTTTATTGGCCGAGGGAGCCGGCGTACAGCTTCCGGGTCATGTGGCCAGCATGACTAAGCCGCTTCTGGCGAACCAGAGCAGCACACGGAAACACTGTATACCTTCCCACCAGAGCGGTACCTATTGATCTACTTGCACTTTGAGGTGCTTTCGAACTGCTAGGTTGGCAGGAGCAGGGACCGACCAACGGGAGCTCACCCTGTTGCGGGGATTTGAACCGCCGACCTTCTGATCAGCAAGTCCTAGGCTCTGTGGTTTAACCCACAGCACCACCCGCGTCCCTATCAATGGCTACTATAATAATAATAATAATAATAATAATAATAATAATAATAATAATATAGTAATACAGCAATACTTCTGAAGGCCAATTGCTGAGAATTGCTGAGAACCCCAGGAAGGCAGAGTCGCTCTTGTGTTCGAATCCTGCTTGCAGGTTCCCCTTTGGTTGCCCCCCCCCCCCGTGAGAACAGGACGATGGACTAGATGGGTCCCCTGGCATGATCCAAAAGGTTCTCCTTATGTTCTTAGCAGGGGCCACAGGGCCTTAGAGTTGTCCGTGAGGTGTGTACGTGAGGAAATCATGGCGTTGGAAAATAACCGGCGACGCCTGGCCTCACCCTGCCTCCACCCTGAACGTCAGCTTCTCTAGGATTTGTGCCCATTCTCAAACAATTCCCCCCCACTCCTGGCTCCGACGCTTCATTTCCCCCACAATTAGGGGCCCTTCCCTGGCAGTGATGCTCTGATGGGCTTCTGCCAAACCAACCGTCACTCCAGGCAGCGAAAGGAGCATTAGAAATGGAAGCTGTCACAAACACAAACATCTCTCCACTTTCCTTGACAGAGTCAATTGCTCTGTCAGTGACAGAGATTGTGGGAGTGTTCCCTTGTATTTAAAGTCAAAGCAGAGGCAGTTGTGAATTTGCATGACAGGGTGCGTGTAACTGAGGAATGGCCCAGAGTTCATTTATTCACACACACACACACACAGTCTCTCTAGCCGACAGGCCTCAAATGCCCCCCCTTCCCGTCAGCTGTAGCTGCCTGGCCACCCTAGTCGGGAAGCAGCTCCGTTTCCACGGCAACAGGCGCCATGGAAACCGCATTACTGAGCGATGGGCCTGTTTGTCAGAGGCCTCTGCCTGTGGATGAGCAGATCCAGATTTATAGCATCTCTCCACACATGGCAAGCAACTGACGGGCATCTGCCCTCTGGGGTGAAGGAGCAATGTGGGAATAAATACTTTGAAGGGCAGGGAAATAAAGAGGTCTTGCAGGAACAGCGGCTGTCGAGCGGGACTGATTTGAGCCTGGCTTAGCAGCACTTAGCTCTGAAATCTTTTTTTTTATGCCAGTAGGAGATCTTTTTCTGTCTGAAGGTTGCATTCCTTTCTGGGATACCTTTCGAGGGAAAATGGGCAGGGGAAGGAATGTTACCCTTGTACAGTGGGCTAGTTTCTACACACACTCTCACACCTCTATATTCTCCTTACAGGCAAACACAGGGCATTATCAGCACATTATCCAGACAGGCAAAAATATTTGTGGGGCCAGGCAGGGCCAATGAGTACACTGGTCAAAGGGTCAGATAAGGAGGCTTGGGCACCTGGACCTGAAGTTCCCCACCTGTGCAGTAAGGCTTGAGACATCTGATGCATGAATAAAAATGGTACCTCTGAGCATGCACAGAGTACCTTTCTCCCAACCCTGAGTAGCAGCAACAAGCTCCCAAGCATCAGATGCTACAGTCATTCACACTTTATTGGACTTCCTGGACTTCAAATGCAAGAAAGAATAGTATGAAATATACATGCATGGTCTTTTTTAAAATACATGTGATAAGGGTTACATGTGTCTGTTTACATGGGCAAACGTTCTACTCTGCAGCAGTTGTGTGTGATAAATCCATAGTGCGAGCAGAGCATGCCTGAGTAGGTCAAGCATTCGGGTCACAGAAACAAGGCATTTATTGACTGCTCGACTTGCAGGCTGCGTAGATGACACCCAAAGGATTTGTTGAGGCAGATCAACAACAGTCACCTCAGAAGGTCCCTGAATGGGGCCTTCCAGGCAATGACCATTTATATGATTTATTTACAGTGGTACCTCGGTTTAAGAACAGCCCGGTTTAAGAACGATTTGGTTTACAAACTCCGCAAAACTGGAAATAGTGTCCTGGTTTGAGAACTTTACTTTGGTGTAAGAACGGAATCCAAACGGTGAAAGGGCACCAGCGGCGGGAGGCCTCATTAGAGAAAGCGCGCCTAGATTTAAGAACGGCTTCAGTTTAAGAATGGACTTCTGGAACGGATTAAGTTCGTAAACCGAGGTACCACTGTATTTTATTTCTTTGGCAAATTCATGGAGGAGAGAGTTATTTGGCTGGCCTTTGGGAGAACAGGATTCTGGACTCGATCCAGCAAGGCTCTTCTTAGTTTCCTACCCTCCCTTCACCCTAAGGACCTTGGGCAGGTTGCAACAGATTAAAACCCAGTATTAAAAGCAGTTTAAAAGGTATTACAGACACAGGACAAGAAGCAGAGATCTCAGGTGTCAAAGAGTTTTGCCACGGACTCCCGCTGTGTGATGAGGAGGTTCACTATAATAGAAACATAGAACTGCAGAGTCCAACCCCCTGCAATGCAGGAATCTTTTGCCCAGACCCTGCTTATTTAACTTATATGCAGAACTCATCATGCAAAAGGCTGGGCTGGATGAATCCCTAGCCGGACTTAAGATTGCCGGAAGAAATATCAACAACCTCAGATATGCAGATGACACAACCTTAATGGCAGAAAGTGAGGAGGAATTAAAGAACCTTTGAATGAGGGTTAAAGAGGAGAGCACAAAATATGGTCTGAAGCTCAACATCAAAAACCCGAAGATCATGGCCACTGGGCCCATCACCTCCTGGCAAATAGAAGGGGAAGAAATGGAGGCAGTGAGAGATTTTACTTTCTTGGGCTCCATGATCACTGCAGATGGTGACAGCAGCCACGAAATTAAAAGACGCCTGCTTCTTGGGAGAAAAGCAATGATAAACCTAGACAGCATCTTAAAAAGCAGAGACATCACCTTGTCAACAAAGGTCCATATACAGTTCAAGCTATGGTTTTCCCAGTAGTGATGTATGGAAGTGGGAGATGGACCATAAAGAAGGCTGATCGCCGAAGAATTGATGCTTTTGAATTCTGGTGCTGGAGGAGACTCTTGAGAGTCCCATGGACTGCGAGAAGATCCAACCTCTCCATTCTGAAGGAAATCAGCCCTGAGTGCTCACTGGAAGGACAGATCCTGAAGCTGAGGCTCCAAGACTTTGGCCACCTCATGAGAAGAGAAGGCTCCCTGGAGAAGACCCTGATGTTGGGAAAGATGGAGGGCGCAAGGAGAAGGGGACGACAGAGGACGAGATGGTGGGACAGTGTTCTTGAAGCAACCAGCATGAGTTTGACCAAACTGCAGGAGGCAGTGGAAGACAGGAAGGCCTGGCGTGCTCTGGTCCAGGGGGTCACGAAGAGGCGGACATGACTAAACAACAACAAGGACTCGAACCCTGACCCTGAGAGCCTCGTTCTCTACCGACTGAGCTATACTCTGCATGCCGTCATTTCTTCCTGTCCCTGCTCCTCTGCCTCTCTCCGAAACATTAGCTATTCCCCTTCAAGAGACATAAATAAGCCACAGGCATCACATTCTCTGGCCTGTCAACGCCGCCAACCGAAATTCTTTCCCTCTGAAGAATCCCAGCCCTTTCTGTTCTCTCCCCCCAGAGTGACAGGACTTCAGGGTGGAAAAGAGACAGTTTGCAGCATGTCACATCCTACAGAACTTTTATGTCCTCTGCAGCTCTTCCCAGACGCTGCTCACCCACTGGTCTTTGGCACGACTCCTTGCAGAAGCCTCGAAGGGGACCCAATTTCCATCACTCAGTCTCCGCAACCGACAGACAATGGACCATGAAAAATGTGCAGACCTTTGGATGAACTCACGCATGCGTGGAAGGAGTTGGGGAGATCTGGTTCCCAGGGAGAAAACGACATTCCCAACCCAAGAGGCAGAAAAGGCAGGGATGGGAGACTGAGGATTTGGGTGGGTGGGCAGCCAGTAAGGTACGAGGGGGCACCCCTCCATGTGTCCTATGACACTGAAAATCGGGCTCAGCTTGGGTGGGTTATTTGCATGTTCACCCAAGATTATGTCCACAGCGACTCAAATATTTGGTTCCACCCCACACAGGTGAACCTCCGGCATCTAGTAATTTAGTTAGTTTTGGGGAGATTTTCATTTTATAATGTGTATAAAGCCAAAAAGAAACTCTTCTAACAGACAAAAATTAAAAGATGAATACTGAAACCATAAAATAAAATAAGAATGAGTCCCATTGCACATGGGTTAAAATATCAAAGTAAATAATATTAGCATTATCTGATTATCGAGTCCTGCATCTAGCGATCAGCTCTCTATTCCATGCCTCCTAAGATAAACTGGGGGACCAGTTTATCTGCATTTATTCTTCAGAGTATGGGAGGCAGTGTGGTGAAGTGGTTAGAGTGTTGGAATAAGAGAGCTGGGTTCAAATCCCCACTCAGCCATCACAAAGCTCACTGGGTAACCTGGGGGGGGGCAGTCACTGGCTGGGTTGGAATTCGAAACCAGCTCTTTCCCAGGTCATCATGCAAGGCTCCAACAACCACCTTTGGCCATGATCCACGGGAGAGGCTTGTTGATCAGCAAGAGACGGCAGCAAAGCCTTGGCTCAGAACCCAAAGGCCCACAAGGCTGCCAGAGACGCTGTCTGGACCCTCGGAGTGCCAGTGGGAATATGGGCAGTGCCCGGCGATCAGGAGCAATGGTCCGGTGGTCTAAGGTAGGGTTACCAGATGTCCCCTGTTCCCGGGGACAGTCCCCAGATTTGCAAATCTGTCCCCGGACAAATTCCGTCCCAGGAATGCCCCCAGATTTGCAAATCTATTGCTGTAAATGTGGCAGCAGCAGCCTCAGCAGCCCAGAGCCAGCCTGGTAGCGCAGTTGGCTCTGGCTGGCTTCAGGAGCTGCCCGCCGCTGCCGCCACTGCCAAGGGAGAACCAGGGATGTCCGGCGGTACAGATCTCCTGCCCCCTTCCCTCTTTGTTTTGACAGATCGGGGGCGGCTCGGGAGTTGTGGGCAGGTGGCTGTTGCCCAGGAGGGGCGCAAGGCACACGGTTTCTCTGCCAGGAAGGTGCAAACCCCTTCTTTTGCACCCTGCGAAACATAAATGCACAGAGTTTTAATGAAACTGGGGAACGGCCAGCCGCCCTCAACTCCCAAGCCTCCACTGATCTGAGGGAAGGGGGCAAGAGATTGGGGAAGGATCGGGAGTCACGGGTGGGCAGTGCGTTGTTGCCCAGTTTTTAAAAAACTCTGTTCATTTATGTTTCACAGAGAGTGAAAGAAGGGCGTTGCACCTTTATACAATATGCATGCCTGTTGTGTTTGTCCATGGAGTTTTCTTGGCAGGGATACTGGAGTGGCTTGCTGGTTCCTCCTCCAGGTGGATCACGTTTGGTCAAAACTCTCCACTATGACCTGTCCATCTTGGGTGGCCCTGCACGGCAGAGCTCATAGCTTCTCTGAGTTATTCAAGCCCCTTCGCCATGGCAAGGAAGACAGCATCTTAAAAGCAGAGACATCACCTTGCCAACAAAGGTCCGTATAGTTAAAGCTCTGGTTTTCCCAGTAGTGATGTATGGAAGTGAGAGCTGGACCATAAAGAAGGCTGAACGCCGAAGAATGGATGCTTTTGAATTATGGTGCTGGAGGAGACTCTGGAGAGTCCCATGGTCTGCAAGAAGATCAAACGCATCCATTCCTAAGGAAATCAGCCCTGAGTGCTCACTGGAAGGACAGATCCTGAAGCTGAGGCTCCAAGACTTTGGCCACCTCATGAGAAAAGAAGACTCCCTGGAAAAGACCCTGATGTTGGGAAAGATGGAGGGCACAAGGAGAAGGGGACAACAGAGGACGAGATGGTGGGGCAGTGTTCTCAAAGCTACCAGCATGAGTTTGACCAAACTGTGGGAGGCAGTGGAAGACAGGAGTGCCTGGCGTGCTCTGGTCCAGGGGGTCACAAAGAGTCGGACACCACTAAACGACTAAACAACAACAACAATATGCATGTGCTCTTGGGCCCAGGGTCTTTTGCCTCCCCATCCCCACTACTGACTCCCTGTTGCTAAAGGGACCCCTGACCGTTATGTCCAGTCATGACCGACTCTGGGATTGCGGCGCTCATCTCGCTTTATTGGCCGAGGGAGCGGGTGTACCCCACCCCCAGTCCTGCCTTCTCCAGCCTGACTCCAGCCAGCTGCATAGGAATGGGCACAAACACCTGAGGCCAAGGGACAAAATGCCAGGGTCCTCAGCACCTCCAGACCTCCGGTCTGAATGAGGGCAGCCCTGCAGGGAAGCACAGCAGCCCATCGAGCAATGCAGCAAAAAGCGGAGGCCAGGAGCATCGCTGCTGAGGCTGCAGCCGCCTGCCTGGAGGCAGAAATGGGCAGGGGGCCAGAGCTCCCCGGCAGGGCGTCTGCCTTGCAAGGGGAAGGTCCCGGGTTCAAGTCCCGCGGGCACCTCCAAAGACAGAGGGGGGAGACGGGAGACGCCTGCCTGAAAGCCAAGATAGCCGCCGCTGCCAGTCCGTGCGGGCAATACTAGGTGGACCAAGGTTACTAACTCAGGCAGCTTCTTATCTTGCGATGGGCACGGAAGGGAAAGGGGGCGGGAGGGAGCTGCAAGGGGGGGGACCCAGGAGCTCTTCCCTGGGGTGGGGGGTAAGTCCTGAATTCACTCTTCCACCCCCCACCCCGTCCTCCAGGCTGGTCTGGGCACAACCCGATTAAGAGAGGCACCATCCTGACGTTGATCCCCAAATCCATGGCACGTACTGGCCCCATGGCAGGGGTGCCAACTGAAATAAAATATGGGGGGGGAGGAAGACAAGCCCCGCCCCACCTAATCCACACGCACGCCATTTAAATGGCAATGCCCGACAATTTGGGGGGCACTCAAATATTTTATTGGAGGGCGGCCAGGGACTTTGGCTCCTATGCCCCATAGCTAGGAGTGGGGTGCAACACGGAGGACGTCGACACCCCCATGTGGAGCCAGCCCCCCACAGCAGGCACCCCCCCGAAGGTCATCCACAGCGCCACCCGCGATGCCAGGCTGCCACCCGCGCCCCCTTCCCTCCTTTGCCCGCGGAACGCCCAGCCACAGGACCGGTGCCCTGTCGCCTTACCTGGGGAGCGCCGTCCTGCCCGTCGGGGGGCTGCTGCCCCTTTGCCCCCCCTTCCTCCTCCTCCTCCTCCTCCTCGCCGCCATCCTTCTTGAAGAGGGTGTAGAAGATGTAGACCAGCAGCGAGTAAAAGGCGTACATGGGGGCTCCGTGGCAACCGAGCTCCCAAATCCGCGGCGCCCACCTGGAGAGGGGACCCCGCAAAACCCCCGCGCTCCGCTCAGCAGCAGCAGCCGCAGCAACCACAGCAGCAGCAGCGGAGCAAGAGGAAAAGGAGGCGGCCCCGGCGGCTGGAGGTGCCCCGCCCGGCCCGCCGCGCCCCGCCTTCCGGCCCGCCGCAGCCTGAATCGGAGTCACCGGGAGGGCCGGGCCGGGCGGGAGCGGCGGGAGGGCGAGGGGGGCGCGGCTCCTCCTTTTCCTTCTCCTTCTCCTTCTCCTTTTTCTCCTTCTCCTTCTCCTTTTCCTTCTCCTCCTCCTTTTTCTCCTTCTCCTTCTCCTCCTCCTTTTCTCCTTCTCCTCCTCCTCCTCCTCCTTCTCTACCTTCTCCTTCTTCTCCTCCTCCTCCTCCTCCTTCTCTACCTTCTCCTTCTTCTCCTTCTCCTTCTTCTCCTTCTCCCTCTCCTCCTCCTCCTTCTCTACCTTTTTCTCCTTCTCCTTCTCCTCCTCCTCTTGCCCAGAAGATGCCACCCCCGTCGGAGGCAGGGCTGAGCCGCCCGCAGGGATGGCACCGGGGCCGGAGGAGCGCATCCCTGGGCCACCGCTGCCGCGCCCCGCGAGGTCTTCCCTGCTTCTCCCCCCCAGGCAGCAGCCGGGAGGTCCCCGCCAGCCCCGAGTGCCGCAGTGGCGGGGCAGCTGCTCTGCAGGCCGAAGGACACGGGTTCGGTTCCCAGGGGCCCCGGCTTGCGGGTTTCCTGTTCAGGTCATCTGCTTGGCCAGGTGAGGACGGGATGATGGCCCAGGTGGGACAGTGGCCTCATCCAGCAGGATCTCCTGCTGTTCTTAACAGAGCAGGAAAGGCTTGCCGTGGCTACTACTAGCCAGAATGGCTATGCTCTTGTCTCCATAACTAGCATTATGAGTGCCCGTTGCTGGAGACCACAGAAAGGAAATAGTGGCTCTTGGGGTCGGATCCTGCTGGCAGGTTTCCCATAATGGGCATCTGGTCCAGAGATGCCAACCTTAATAAAATATGGAGGATGGGCAGGTAAGCCCTACCCCACACAATCGATTCCAAGACACAGCACGCATGCACACACACACCATTTGAATGGCAATGCCCATCAACTTTGGGTGAGTCTCAGCATCAACCGCCTCAAATATTTTATTGGGAACCCCTAGGAGTTGGCCAGGATGTGGGTGACACTGTGGGTTAAACCACAGAGCCTAGGGCTTGCCGATCAGAAGGTCGGCGGTTCGAATCCCCGCGACGGGGTGAGCTCCCGTTGCTCAGTCCCTGCTCCTGCCAACCTAGCAGTTCGAAAGCACGTCAAAGTGCAAGTAGATAACTAGGTACCACTCCAGCGGGAAGGTAAACGGTGTTTCCGTGTGCTGCTCTGGTTCGCCAGAAGCGGCTTAGTCCTGCTGGCCACATGACCCGGAAGCTGTATGCCGGCTCCCTCGGCCAATAAAGCGAGATGAGTGCTGCAACCCGAGAGTCGGCCACAACTGGACCTAATGGTCAGGGGTCCCTTTAGGAGTTGGCTACTGTGAGAAGTTGGGTGGGTCACTGGCCTAATTGTGTTCTTACATTAACTTTGGCCATAATCTGGGATGTTAACTTCCCTGGGTCTGGCCAAGTGGGTTCCAAATAAAAAGGTAAAGGGACCCCTGACCATTAGGTCCAGTCGTGGCCGACTCTGGGGTTACCTGGAAATAATTAGGCAGGCAGTGAAATTGGGCTGGAGCAGTGCCAGCACAGTCTACGGCGTTGCAATTAGAGACCCGGCATAGTGGTTAGTGTGTTAGGCTAAGACCCGAGAGACCCAGGTTCAAATCCCCACTCAGCCATGAAGCTGGGGGACCTTGGGGGTCACTCAGTGCCTCTCAGCCTAACCTCCCTCACAGGGTTGGGGGCGTGTTGAATGAGAAGCAGGTGGAAGAAGCATGTAGGTCACCTGCAGCTCCTTGGAGGAAAAGGTAGGATGTCAACAGGAGAAAACAAACCTTAAATGCCATGATCTTAAAAAAAAATAATCATTTTTCTTTTTCATTCATTACACGCATCTCATATTCCTAACATTTACTATACATCCTTCCCTCCCTTCCCTCTTAGGCTTCCCCCAACTTCCACTTCTGATTTGTTTGTCCTTTCACCCACTTTGCTGCCTCCTAAAAGAAAAACTACTAATAACATATTTATACAATAACATCAAACCTAAAAACATAAAAATAACAGTGAATGCACCATATTATTTCTCTATCTTCTACACATTTTCTAATACTAACGATGTGAATGTTTATTTAAATCCTGCCATCAAGTCTATAGACTTTCTTTGTTTCTGCAAGTATAATATAAAAGGTTCCCGTTCTTTTTCAAAGTCACTGTTGTCTTTTTCTCTTAGTCTGTCTGTCATTTTTGCCAGTTCTGAATAGTTCATCAACCTCTCCTGCCATTGTTCTTTAGTTGCTATTAAATGCCATGACCTGTCCTTTGCATCTCAACATGCAAGCATCTCAGACAGAGGATGCAAAAGGGTCCATGCCGGCTCCCTAGTGGGACACCTGCTTGGCATGCAGAAGATGTCTCTGCACTGCTGGAGAGCTGCCTCTCTCAGCTCCGGCAATGCAGAGGCTGCTGACGGCAGCAGAATCTCACAGGCTGGTCCTGCTGGGAGGAAGCAGCCCCTTCACTCCTGCTGCAAAGATGGAACCAGACTTGGCAACAGCCCTATAGGAAAGAGCCTCAGGAGCTGTGCTTTGCATGCAGAAGGCAGCAGACCCAACCTCCTGGGGGGGAACAATTTGCAGACTCAGCATACAGAATAGGAGAACAAGAAGAACATACGATTAAAGAAGATTGGAAAACGTTTATTGAATATATTGGAAATAACTGTGTACAGCTGAAAACGCTGGCAGCATTCAGATCAATTCAACAGGGTAAATAAGTTTTGATGGATGCAATAATGGGATAGTGAGTGGTATAGTTTTTTGTAAAATAAGCAGGGATTTGTAAAATGATATGTAAAATGAATGTAAAATGAACCGTGAAAAGAGAAGAAGGGAAGTCATTGATATCTTAAGGATGTAAAATGAGTATTTTAATTTGTAAAACAGAAAATTTAATAAAAACTAGATATAGCTAGATGATAGATATAGATAGATAGATAGATAGATAGATAGATAGATAGATGATAGATAGATAGATAGATAGATAGATAGATAGATAGATGATAGATAGATGATAGATGATAGATAGATAGATAGATAGATAGATAGATAGATAGATAGATAGACAGATAGATATATAGATGAGAGAGAGAGGGAGAGAGAAACAACCTCCGCGTGAAATATATATATATACACACACACATATATATAAAATATAAAATTGTTCAGTAGCACAATCTTTAGATACCTGAAGAAGTGTGCATGCACACGAAAGCTCATACCAAAAACAAACTTAGTTGGTCTCTAAGGTGTTACTGGATTATATATATATTTATATTTATATCTATATATCTATATATTTCTACTGCGTCAGACCAACACGGCCACCTAGGACCTCCTGGGAGGGTCTTCATGGAGAGACACTGCCAGCCAGCCTGAGCTAGAGATGGACCCAGGATCTGATTCAGTGCAAGGCAGTTCCCCGTGTTCCTAACCCTCTCTGGCAAGAATCCAGAGCCCAGCAACATTCACAAGGAATGGGATTTCATAGAACCGTAGAACTGTAGCGTTGGAAGTGGACCAAAGGGAATCCTGCAATACGGGAATCACAGCAGAAGAATCCCTGATTTGCCTGGGCGAGCTGCAGGGAAGACTTTGGGATGGCTCTGCAGACAGTGCCCACAACGAAGAGCTGTGTGCCACTCAAATTAATTCTGCAAGTAAAGCCCTCCCACCAGATGTCAAAGAGAACAACAACTACCAGACTTTTAGAAGACATCTGAAGACATCTGTTTAGGGAAGCTTTTAATGTTTGATGTATTACGGTATTTTAATATTCTGTTGGAAGCCGCCCAGAGTGGCCGGGGAAGCCCAGCCAGATGGGCGGGTTATAAATATTATTATTATTATTATTATTATTATTATTATTATGATGATGATGCCAGCAGCACGTTAAGTGGCAAAAATGTCACCGCTGAAGTTCCTCCCCATCACACAGCTGTTAAAGGACACAGCAGTCCTGCCCCAAAAGAAGTTGGGTGCTTTAATTGAGACAAAATTTAAAAAATCCTTCCAGGAGCACCTTTGTTGTTTAGTCATTTAGTCGTGTCCGACTCTTCGTGACCCCCTGAACCAGAGCACGCCAGGCACTCCTGTCTTCCACTGCCTCCCGCAGTTTGGTCAAACTCATGCTGGTAGCTTCGAGAACACTATCAGCCATCTCGTCCTCTGTCGTCCCCTTCTCCTAGGGCCCTCCATCTTTCCCAACATCAGGGTCTTTTCCAGGGACTCTTCTCTTCTCATGAGGTGGCCAAAGTCTTGGAGCCTCAGCTTCAGGATCTGTCCTTCCAGTGAGCACTCAGGGCTGATTTCCTTCAGAATGGAGAGGTTTGTTCTTCTTGCAGTCCATGGGACTCTCAAGAGTCTCCTCCAGCACCATAATTCAAAAGCATCCATTCTCCGGCGATCAGTCTTCTTGATGGTCCAGCTCTCACTTCCATACATCACTACTGGGAAAACCATGGCTTTTACTATATGGACCTTTGTTGGCAAGGTGATGTCTCTGCTTTTTAAGATGCTGTCTTAAGAAGTGTGCATGCACACAAAAGCTCATACCAATAACAAACCTAGTTGGTCTCTAAGGTGCTACTAGAAGGATTTTTTTTATTTTCTTTTGACTACGGCAGACCAGCACGGCTACCTACGTGTAACTAGAGCTTTAGTTGAGATTCCTGCATTGCAAGGGTTTGGACTAGATGACTTTTGGTGCCTCAAAGCAGCTGTCTGAGGAAAGACGTGTGTGGCAGTAGCTCCCTCTCCTCCTGGCCTGGATGTTTCCACCT